GGAGAGCTAGGGACAGTGCAAAGGAGACCAAGCCTTCCTTCAGGGAGCTCACTTGCTGGAGGGGGGAAAACTGAGGCCAAACCAGGAACCAAGAAGTGAGCTGGGAAAAAATAGAGTGTGGGGGGTACCAGGAGGGTCCCCAGGAGTATGCTGGTTGGTGCCACGGGGGAAGGTAGCTCCTCAGCCAGGGAGGCTGGTGAGGCTTCAAGGGAGGTGCTGGGGGAGCAGAGGCTAGAAGGAGTGAGGGGTGAGCTTTGGAGTCCCTCGGACACACTCAGATGAAAGGATTGGCGTGCCCAGGCCTGAGGGTGTCTTGTGCTGGCCTGCTCTCATGGAAGGAACTGGTGTGCCCAGGAGTGAGAGAGGGAGGAGGGCCCAGGCAAGGTTGGGGAAGGGTCCTGAGAGGCCATGGGAGTGGACTGGAAGGACTGGACAGTCCACCTGGGCTGCTGTGGGATGCATGGCTGAGGGGCAGTCTTTCAGGCTGGGGCTTGGTTGCTCGTTTCAGGAGGGTGAGACCAAGGAYGGGTTGGCTGCTCCTGGAGAAAAACCAGGTGAAAACAACTCAGAACCCAAAGACCCCAGGAAGCCAGAAGGGAGTGACAAAAATTGCACAGCTGCTGTGACCAAGGAGAAGGAGCAGAAGAATCAGAAAGCCAGTGCAAAGGCCGTCCCCGTGAGGTACCAGGCCACCCCGCCCAGGGCCAGGGCACAGGGAGGCCATCCGTGCCTGTTGAGGGCCCCTGTGACGAGTTCAGTCCAGAGGCTGCAGAGGAGGCAGGCTGGCCAGGCCGGGAACTCACGCCCTCCTCTCCACTTCTTGGCCGCTTGTGATGGGCAGCAGCCAGGGGTGAAAATGACCAGTAGAGAAAGAGGAGGTGGGCTGGGCCAGGGGCAGTTGGTGACCACAGTGCTTCCTTCCCTCTTCCAGCTGGCTGAAGCCCGAGGAGGGGATCACTGTGCACTTCCACGCCATCATCCCCAAGCATGTCACCTTCGACCCCGAGCTCCACACGGTGTTCATCAGGGGAGGAGAAGAGCTCGGACAGCCCAAGTGGAGTGATGCTTGCAAGATGTACTACATTGCGTGAGTCCCGGGTCCCCCAGCCCCCCAACGTGTGTTAGAGGTGGTCAGCAAGTCCCCGAGGTAGCCCTGCTTCCTGGGTGATATCCCAGCATGCATTTCTCAGTCTTGTGTTGCCATGGCTCTTTTTTTCTGTCCTAACTGGAAACRAAGCCCTGCCCTGTTCTAGACATGCTGTCTTGGTCAGTGTTCGTTATAGCTTTAGGTCTGTGTTCTTGGTATTTGAGACCTAAATCTTCTGAGATAATACTTCCAGATAACTGGCCACTAGCC